TGGAGGGGGCTGTTATAAGAAGAGTACCAGCGTAATCTAAGATGTAGGGGCATGCAGCAGTTTCAAGCACTGAACTACAAGTGTTTTATTATGGTGAGAAAATAGGGTGGGGTAGGGGAAGGGCGGAGGAGTTTGGGCCTAAACAGGAGCCTGGAAAGGGAAGCAGGAGACTGATTTTTAACAGCTCATATTATACCATGCAAAGGGCCTTAGCTTTTCTAAGAGGCTTGGGGAGCCATTGAAATGCTTAAAGTATAATCAACTGAGTAGTTAGGCGGTGCTAGAGAGATTGGAAGAAAACCAAAGCAAAGCTGTCAGTTGGAAGACTATTCCAAGAGAGTGGCAGTGGAGATGGTGTGGCAGGAGCCAGCACAAGGTTTAAGGAGCCCGAGACCACCGGGACTGGTCGGTGACAGTCAGGCAGATGAGAAGGAAGTATGATGAGATGTCTGGTGTGAATTTCAAATTTTTGACCTAAGAAATTGGAGATACTGTTAGGAAGAACCAGTTAGGGAAGAAAAAAATACTAAGATTTCAGTTTTAAACATGTTTAATGAGAATATTTATGTGCACCTTTACTCAGAAGGCAGTTGGAGCTATGGGAACAGAGCCTGCAAAGAAGTCTAGGCTGGAGACTGATATTTGTGTTCCTCAGCGTGTTGGTGGTTATTGAAGGCATGGGAGGAAGCGCAGTCGTTGAAGATGAGAAGGAAGAGTGAAACGGGAAAAGAACTAAGGAAAGGGCAATATTCAGGGCATACCAACATTTGGTAGATTTTTCAAAGGCAGATCAACCTACAAAAGAAACTAGGAAGAAAACGTCAGGGAAGTTAAGGTCTAGGCCAGAATTGAATGATGTCAATCCAAAAGGAGAGGACTGACCAGGATGAAAGGGATTGAAAATGGTCTCAGTCAAATCAAACACGACCATACTGGAGGGAGGGAGGGAGAAACTTGGAGGGACAGGAGCATGTGCTTACGTTTCTGATGTGACACAGCATTTTAAGAAACAGGCTGTGTCCTTGGAAGGCAGAGACTAAACGGGTATGAAAGTGAAGATTACAGCCAGGTAATCAAAGAGGTTGTATTGATTCACATCAAATAAATGTGAAAGTGACCCAGGATGAGGGTTGTAGTTCTTGGAATGGAGAAGGATACTGTCAGCTGAGTGGGTATCCTCAGTGAATGAGGTGTAACAACTCATAAACAGGTTGCAGAAAAAGAGGAAAGTCCTCTGGGCAGCCACACTTACTTTTACCTCTGTCTCACAGATATCTGTCGAGATACCTATCACTTTGTAGTTTATTTTTATGATTTCTTCACTTTCGCATTTGTTTCTTTGTTCCATTTATCTTCTGCTAGATTGTAAGCTGTTTAAGAGCCTGTGCTGTTTTTCATTATTGCTTTATCCTTACCACCTAACAAAGTGTCTGCTACGTAATCCTCCATTGGAAACTATTGAATGATCAATTGAATGAAAATGGAAAAGAGAGACAAAAAGAAAGAATGAAAGAGTCAGGTGGTTAGAAAGGAAAATGAGTCATTCTCTTAATTCTCATCCTGGACAGCAAGCCTTCCCTTGTGGATAGGTCCTTTGTCTTATCCTGTGCCATCAAATGCCACCAGCATAGTGTCTCTTGCAGAGGAGATCCTCTGAAAAAATTGCCAGGGTGGATAAGTGGGAGCATTGCCAAGGCATATTTTAATTTTATAGGGTTTTCTTTCTTTTTATATTTTATTAATTTTTAATGTAACAAGTAATTGAAGAAAAGCTGTATTAACAGATTATTGGATTCATAAATACAGTGAAGTATTCATGTTGTATATTTCACATATCTGATTTTATATGGCGATAGGTCTGTTGATTCTTCTGGGAAACGAAACTCTTTATGACAAAATACACTTCCTATTTGGTGGAGAGTGAACCAGTAAGTTCACTCCGCGGTGCTTTGGCTCTGCTACCGCCGGGTCACCAATTGACCTGCCATCCCTTAGAAAGGGCATCCTTAAAGGAGCGGTTAGAAAGCATCTGCCACCGACACTCCCCACCTGTGAACCTTATTCTTTGTCTTTCTCCCTTTCTGTTTTTCCCAGTTCTTGCCTTTTTACTTTGGAGAACTGGAGAATCACTATCTTCCTCAACTAAACTTGCAACATTAATCTCTAATCTTGGTTTTTCCTCATGCCAGGAGAACTGAAGTCAGTCATTAATTCTCAGTGTTGGAAATTCTACCCTATTCTGAATTATTATGCAGGAAAAGTAAGATTTCTGAACCAACCTGAAGGACGTGACAGTGTTAGGAAGTCAAAAAATTATTACCACATTTCTCTACTTGTATTTTGGCTAAATATAATGAATTTTTTGTACCATGGTTATCTTTTCCTGCCATTCTTTCTGCTTGCTTTCTTGTTTTTATCTCTAAAGAAAATATCTGACAGCTAGATGACCCATTAGAACACATTATCTTGTAAAATACGTGTCATTATGTAAGTGCTTTTCCCACTTTCTTCTCCATTGTGTATGACTGGATATATTTATTTTTGTTTGTTTGTTTTTAACCTGGTAAAATGCCAACCTCTTTCTGTTTTAAATTTCTCTTAGACCACCATAATAAAATGCCTTGTGTATTGCTATACCCCTTAAGGGTTTTTAATGCTGTTCTCTGCTCTTTTGCAAGGAATATAAATTAAAATCTTCAGACTCTCCCAGTGGGTGTAATATTACTGTGGAACATTGTGGAATATCCAAATGTAGCTAAAATTGAATCATTAAATTTAATTCTGCTGGAATCATACAGTTTAAGAGATGAGGACTAGAACAGCCCTGATAGGTCATCTAGTCCAGCGTCCATGTTAAATAGATGAGGAAATGAAGCTCCAAAGACCGTGACCTACCCAAGGGCACAAGGCTGCAAATGCCTTCAACAAGACTGGTTTCCCTTTCACTGTACTCCTTACCAAACTCTGACCTTCATCAGGGCAGGCTCCTTTACCCACCTCCTCCTTCAGGATTACATTTCTCACTGCCGTTAGCTTTCTCCATAGCACAAGCAACATATTCAGCCCATGCTTTTTATTACCACTTGTATTTACTGTGGTTGAAAGTCATTCTATGGTAGGAGTTGAGAACTCTGAAGAAACTGTGGTAATTTGAAAACTTACTAAGTGCTAATATCATGGCCAGAAAGAGTTAATGCAAATTTTCAAAATGTCTAAATTATTCCTAAAGACAGACCTACAAAAGAATCTGGTTTTTCCTCTTAGTTTATTGTCTGTGGAAGGTCATATACAATGTTAAGATGACACATAGTTTTGTAAACCGATAGAAATTAGAATTGAGAATAAAATCCTATATTCTTCTACCTGATGAATCTGGTACCATACGTGAGGGTACTTTCTTAATTTGTTGAAATCTGCTTTTATTTTATGGTACAAATAGAATAAAGTAGTAAGCTTCAACTCTCTCTCATCTGTAAAGTGAGGACATTTTAATACTCCGCACACAATTGAGGATTGGAATAATACTGTTAACTCCCCTTGCTTATTTATTATAATTAAAGGAGTATTTTTTCTCTAATATAAAACTTAACATAAAACTTTTAATGTATATTTGTATAAAATGGTTCATTATAAATGTATGTCTCCTCTAATTGCCTTTTATTTAAACTTACAATTAAGTCCGTTGTAGTAGATTCTAGATCAAATATGTGGGTGTGTATTTACAGTTAACTTGGAGACTTACAAGGCTAGTCTTTAGTGACTGCTATCTTCTGACTGAAATCTGAAAAACTAACAAGAGTCCATTTTAAAGCCTCTGACTGTAGAAAATACTTTTTGGTTGACATTAATACTGTGCATTCAATGCGCTTTACAGAACATTTAACTGATTTTTAAATCATTGACAGCAGTCTTATATCTATTTCTCATACAATGAATGTTTAGTCAGAAAATGTACTTTACTTATAAAATCTATAGCTATTCATAGTTTGTTCTTTTCAATAAGCTAACCAAAAAAAGTTGTCTTATTCAGGTTTTATTGTTTTTCTTTCTTCACAGCTACGACAGTTAGTTAATATGTGCATCAATCCAGATCCAGAGAAGCGACCAGACGTCACCTACGTTTATGATGTGGCAAAGAGGATGCATGCCTGCACCGCAAGCAGCTAAACATGCAATATTATGAAGAGTGTAACCAAAGTAAATTAAAGTATTTCGTGCAAGTCATACCTCCCCGTTTATGTCTGGTGTTAAGATTAATATTTCAGAGCTAGTGTGCTTTGAATCCTTAACCAGTTTTCATATAAGCTTCATTTTGTACCAGTCACCTAAATCACGTCCTTGCAACACCCAAATGACTTTGGAATAACTGAATTGCATGTTAGGAAAGAAAATGAAACATGATGGTTTTGAATGGCTAAAGGTTTTTAGAATTACTTACAGTTTTCTGCTGATAAATTGTGTTCAGATAGACCATCAGTGCCAAATATTGAAGGTGCAGCTTGGCACACGTCAGGGTAGACTCAGACCTGAGAATAAGTCTCTGAACATGTGACTTGTTTCTTTTACAGTAATTTATGGACATTAAGGCAGACCCACAATTGTGAACTTTTGTCATGATTTTATTTTTGAACGTTTGAAGTACTAGTTTTTAGTTCTTAGAGTAGTTTTCAAATATAGTTCTTATGATAACTGTAGAGATAAACTATTTGAGAAACATTTAAAACTCTTAGCTTATACATTCAAAATGCAACTATTAAATGTGAAAAGATTTGGGGACAAAGTGAGTCAGACACTGAAGAGTTTTTTGTTTTGTTTTAGTATTTTTGATATTATCTTTGCATTGAAATGGTATAAATGAATCCATTTAAAAAGTGGTTAAGGATTTGTTTGGCTGTTGTGATAATAATTTTTAAAGTGGCACATTGCCCAAGGCTTTCTTCGTGTGTTTTTATTATTGTTTGTACATTTGAAAAATATTCTTTGAATAACCTTGCAGCACTATATTTCAATTTCTTTATAAATTTAAGTGGATTTTAACTCATAATTGTACACTATAGTATAAGCCTAAGTTTTTATTCATAGGTGTTATTGAAGTTCTGATTGGTCCCCTTCAGAAATGTTTTTATATTACCCTTCAAGTTACTTTCCTATTGATATCGTATGTGCATTTTATCCATTATTGTTTCATACTTTTTGAAAGCCTAATGCCCTTTTAAAAGATATTTGGTATACCAACACTTTTGCCAGATTGAAAACATTTTTTTAAACTTTTTAAAATTTGGGCCACCCTGTGTGCATGTGTTTGGTCTTGTTGAAGAGGAAGAGAGGATGTGTGTTGTACTGTACCTGTGAATGTTGATACAGTTT